CTAAGCAAGTTTGGGAGAGGTCAACCACCTCGTTCCCTTCGTTCTCGCTTTCCATTCTGGCACTCATCTCCTCATGTCTTTTCCTCGCATTCGCTCGGGTCGCCACACATGATGGGAATGTTCCAGGATGCATTTCCTCAGTCTTCTCAGTCTCCTCCGAGACGCTCGGTTTTTGCACCACTCTTGGATGGGGTACAACTCTTTCTCCAGCCAGGTCATTTCCCAGTAACATCGATATGCCTTTCATAGGCAGACTATCAATCACTCCGATGACTATAGGTCCACATACTATGTCAGAGTCAAGGGAGATCCGGTGAAGTGGGACACTAACAAAATTATTTCCTACCCCTTGTATAACTACTCGTTCGCCCGTGGTTGTCTCTGATCCGCGTGGCATGTCTTCTTCGACTATCGCTCCCGTGTCTCTTAGGATTTTGATTTTAACCCTCTTCGTGGGATCATCCACCGGACATACGGAGCCGTTCGACACAAATGGTTCGTACTCCTCTCTGATTTGACCTTTGATCTTCTTACTGAGATCCTTATGCGACGATATAAACCCTTGTGGATTATTTGAGACTGCACTTCTCTGTTCGACATTTTTCTTCTCGAAACAATTCGCCGCCATGTGTCCTACCTTCCCACAGTAGTAACACGTTATGTTTTTCCCTCCTTCCGTCCGTCGGGGGGTAATAGAATCAGAACCAAACCGTTTACACTTCGGGCTGTTCGGTCGATGGGGGTAGTTTACCTGACCAGATCTTGTCCTCGGACCAGCACTAGCCATTACTCGAGGCTTCGTGCTTCTCCCATATTCAGATGGGTCCTCTGAGTTATTCTTGCCTCGCTTATGTGTTAGTGCGTATTCGTCCGCGAGGGTAGCCATCTCGTAGGCTGTGTCGACCTGTCTTTCGTTGAGGAATGTTTTGAGGTTGTCGTGAACGCACCATTTAAATTCTTCAATTAAGATTAACTGTCTTAACTTATCATAATCCGCACCTATTTCTTTCGCCGAAATCCATCGGTCGAAATATGTCTCTTTCCGCCTGAAGAACTCTATATACGTTTGGTTTTCGTCCATTCTATGATCCCTAAATTTCTGCCTATATGCTTCTGGTACCATTTCATAGTTTCTCAGGATCGACGTTTTTACGATATTATAGTCGGAGTGAGGCATACGTTTCTTGTGCTTTACCTTTCAAAGCTGTCTGTAGCAATATCGGCCAGGCTTCGATGGGCCATTCTAGGTTTAAAGCAATTTTCTCGAAGTGTTGGAAATATTTATCCACGTCTTCTTCGTTGAATGTAGGCACAAGTCGGATTTGCTTGGTGAGGTCAAAGTTGTTCCGCTCCCTCTCGTGTCGTAATCGTTCTTGTTCCATTTCTCTGATACGGGTTTCCTGACTAATTCTCACCAGCTTAATCTGGGTCTCATCTTCGATCTTAAGTTTTTCCAGTTCGATCTGGGCTTCTGAGAGTTGAGGCACTTCTGACACAAGGTTGTCAAGAACGCTCGGGTCGAAAACTTCATTATCGACCATGTCTTCTGAGACCACTCTCACCAACTGCGCCTTTCGCATAGACCGTCTTACGTCCAACTCCAGTTTTAAACCTATCTCTAAAATATGGTCCTTTTTCAGCTTTAATAGACCGTCAAAAGTGGGAGAGTTTAGAAAAGTATCTATTACACTACTTCTCGGTTTATGTGCCTTCCGTAATTCTATGACAGCACTGTTCCTCACTGCGAAGTCTTGTGGAAAAGGAGAAATAATCCCCGGACATGAGCCCCCAATTCTGTTACGCCCCGGGGTTTCGTTGGGACTACGATAGCCGGGACGTAACGAGAAAATAAAAAAAAAATAAGTAAGAGATCCCAAGGTTCAATATAAAAATAAAGAAAAGAACGTTGGGAGGGGAATTCTCCAATTCCGGACGTCGGTAAACGCAGAGAGAAAATGAACAATACGCAGACACAGAACAACAGAAGACAACACGAGAATATATAATACAAAGATTTTATTTCTAGAATACATGGAGTGTGACTATAAGAAAAAGAAAAAGAAACTAAATAATACAAGGGATGGGGAGATAAGTTCACAATTAAACAGATACTAATGCGGCAAAATTCATATGAATACAGAAAAAGCAGATTTTAAGATAGGGAAAAACATGCAGAAACTTACATAAGTTTAGAATCGACGTCGATTGACAATTATCGGGGTACAATTTGTTCAAAGAATATTTATACACTTTTTTGATGGGATTGACAATGTTGATCTACAATCTCGCGTCGGTCCTTTGGTTTTTTGGTGGCATCTAATTCTTCTAATGGCGAATAGCTAAGACGGGTTTTTGGTGACGTCCGTCTCCTCTGATAGCCAACAACTGTGTGTGTTTGTTGTTACCTTAACACGTCCGAAACGAAAACTGCTATATTTTGAGTCACGTGTTGGCCCCCAAAAAAAGGTATGCGTCATTCACGGACCCTGTTAATATTATCCACAGTTATCTGTCAAACAGCGTTATTCTTGGCCAGCGACTATGGAACTGGTTAACATCATTCACACCTGTCAAACAACGTTTGTTTGGCCTACGCGTCAGGGATCAGGTAGGAAATGGGGGTAGAAGGGAAGGTTCTTTTCCGAGAACTGGCCCTGACTCATCTGGTTATAAAAACAATATGTATCTCACAATCTGCATATTTAAGAAATAAAGAAGTTAAGATTCATATGTTTCGTCGCAAATACAAAATGTACTGAAAATGTACTTATAAAATCAGAGGTGAGGGTACAAATATGGGGTTAACGTAACAATATATATATATATATATGTATGTATTTGTTGCTATTGAAATAGTGCTCGATGTTATATAACAAAGCTATAAAGTATATATATTAATAAATATACATATTATCCCACACCGTTTGGCACAACTCGGAGTTTAATATCAAACACAATCTTCAGGTTTGGCATCAAACTCCGAGTCGTACCAATGGTGTAGGATAATATGTATATTTATTAATATATATACTTTATAGCTTTGTTATATAGCACTGGGCACTATTTCAATAACAACAGCACTTTATATGCAATTCATATATCTATCTATCCACACACACACACACACACACACACACATATATATATATATATATATATATATATATATATATATATATTTTTAAAACTTATTTCTATTATATATATATATATATATATATATATAAACTTTATATATATATATATATATATATATATATATATATATATATATCCTACGACTCCAAATCTTTTGTGAATACCATAATACTGAATAAAAAATATATTCCTTAGAAATATACGTGCGTGTGTCTGTGTGTGTTTGTGTGTGCACGAGCATAGTTATGCATGCGCATTTGTTTATATATGCGTATATATGCATATATTTGCGTGTATGTGCATATGCACATATATGTATGTGTATATGTTTCTATGTTTATTTGTGCTTTTTGAAATTGTTTCCCTTACACTCTTCTTAATGTTCCGGAACGGATATCCCTACCCTAGGGAAGTCGATACTATCGGATATAATTTTTTTTAAAAATTGGTTTAATGGTGGGCGTTGATACCACTCTAGTGGATTTTAAAAATTCTTCTTTTTTTTTTGCGATGATTCACAAAACTGGTATCTGGGTTGTGGCTCATTCCAGTATAGTCATCTAGTCTACCTATCCCCTTACTAGATCAAGTTTTCCAGCCCAATCTTTCATTTCCGAGCATATATTTAGTTTCACTAAGTGTAATATAAGAATCACGATAATATATTTCTTTTTTAATTAGTAATGGTAATTTTAGCCGTTTCCTTATAAGGAAAAATTCGGCTTTCATTGACCGAACAGATAGTAATACCGTCGATTGAAATTTCTAAAAATATTTCTCTTAAAACAATTTTTCAGGAAAATACGTATCTTAAGTCCAGTAGCTGTTATCGCTCTTTCCAGTATTGATGGAGGTTTCCTTCCTAACTTTATTTGAAGTTGTGTGGATCGTCAACATCTTGATTATGACATTATTTTCTCTTCGAGTTACATGTGATATCCATTTTTGGTGTTACTGCTGTTGAAAGTCCTCAAGTGATGCGGTTTCTGTTTTGTGGTACTTTGTGATTCTGTAGCGCCAGTTCCTAAGTTTCGAAGAAGGATTGTCTTCGCCAAGATCCACAGGCTTCATTCGCAGTAAGCCATTATTAACTACTGGTCTTAGAAAACGATTGTAAACAGCTGACGCTTTAAGTATATATGGTGTTTTCATTTATTACAATAACAAGGCAGACTCAAAGATAATCTTTGGGAATTAAATATAAAATAGATTTTTAGATAATCTTTGAGAATTAAATAAAAAAAGACACAAGGTAAACCGGATAAATATTAGGTTGGTGCAAAAAATAATGACGTAAGAATGTCGTTTTTGAGCGTTAAAAATACGTCAAAAAACGACATTATTACGCCATTATTTTTGCGAAATACAATGCTGCGTTAAAAGTCACTTAAAAATAAAACCAAAGCAAATGGACTAAAAAAAAAAAAAAAAAAAAACGGAAAAGCGACAAAAGAAAGTAAAAAGAAAACCCACACTAATAATAAAAATTAAGCGACAAACCCATAAAAGAGGGGGGGGGGAGGAAACATAAATTGATAAAAAAACAAAAACAAAAAACAAAACAAAACCCCACCAAAAGACAATTACCTACCTAATCAGTAAAAGAAAGTGCTCTATGTCGGAATGAACAATAGAGAGCTTCCTAGCGACACTATTCAAAAAAAAAAAAAAAAAAAAAAAAAAGAAAAGATCGTCAGGCGACCAGAACCTTCTAGTCACCTGACGATCCCGGTAGCGTGAAACCTCGGGTAGTGTTTTCTTTTCCTTTAGTTCAAATTTACTCTCTACACGCTTCAGGACAGATAGGTTCCCTGTGTCAATCACCTCAAAGGTGTTGCTCATGTAAAAGAAGATACAGGGGTATGTGCTGTGACAGGAGTGTTGCAGCTACCATGTTTTCAATCTACATATTCTTGGAAACTGAATCTGTCATAAGGGCCGTTATTTTACCCAAAATCAGTCTTTGCTTAAAATATCAAAAAATATTTTTCTAATTTCTGTGTAAGCTTTGAAGAAACAACATATAACCGTATATTTAATCATTTGAATCGAAATCAGTAAGGTTTGTGGCTCATTTTTAAAGTTTTGTGGAACACGTTGTCATTTTTAGTGATTATTTTTTTTTGTGCCCTGGGCAGATCTGGGCACGTTTCGGTCCCAATTTTCAAAAAGTTGGTCCATTTTCTTCTATTTGAACATAAATGAGTGGAATAAAACACTTTAACACTTCTTTTGAAAAATTTGGTCTACCCCTATTAAAAATAACTTTGCTTCTTATATGAAATGTAATTAATCATGTCATCATGACCATGCTTAAATACCTATATCCATTATATTACTGCTCCATCATGAGGTGATTATAAACTTGTATAAACGATCATTTGTTCACGTATATTTCATTAAGTGGCCAGGTCCTACCAACACTAATGTTATAAGTATAAGAGCTTCAAGGATGCGTTCAATATTCTAAAATGTCTGAAAGATAATGATCGATTCTAGTATCTGTTTGTATAGTCGTAAATGAGTGAAAAATATCGCATTGAGCACATTACCTGCATATATATATATATATATATATATATATATATATATATATATATATATTACTGTGTATTTAGGCAGCAGTTCCTCATTTATACATGTTTCATTAAAGACGACAGTCAAGGTACTAAGATTAAGCTTTTTATTTAATTTTTCTTGTGTTCGAACAAGTGTTTTCTTTTCTGGACACAGGGTGTGTAGAAACTGTCCAAATGTTCTGTAATCCTGAGCCGTTTCGTCTATACTTTTAGCCATTATCAAGGATGATTTTATTTTTACTTTTTAACTGGTTGTATGGCTTGTGTGTTTCTATAGTTGTAGTGATATTTTATTTTCCGAACACGGTTAGCACATTGTGGCCGTGTTCGTAGTTAATATTCTTGAGTGTTGGCTTTTTCTTTTTTATCATTAAGGCTTCCATTATTTTTTAATCTTTTTTAACATGTGGATGAGGTTATCGTGTTTGTATTTTCTACTAGCATGTTTCAGATGGAATCTGGTAAGTTTCTGTGTGTGTTTAAATAGATTCTAATATAGCTGTGGTCGGATAGCTGTAACGTAAGGTGTCTGGTTAGGCATGTAGTGGTGTGACCGATGTAATTAGTTCGGTGTGATAAGGAACACATTTCCTTAAGAGGCATTTGACCTCGTAAATAATATTCGTTCTTTGTAATTTTGATTTTGTGGGTGTTTTTTTTTTTTTTTTTTTTTTTTGAGGATAAGGTTATCTGTTTTAAATTTTTGTAGTAGATAATTTAATTTTTTTTTTGTTCGGTTCGTTTGGGGATTTTATTTCTTTATGATATTTCTATGTGAAGATTCATCTTGTTTGTAGTTGACGTGCATATATATACAAGAAAATAAAGTATTTGTAAAACCAAAGCAAAGGGAATAAAAAAAAGAGTAAAATGTGGCCAAATAAAGTAAAAAGAAAAAACAAACTAATAATAAAAAAAAAACTAAGCGACAAACCAATAAAAGAGGGGGGGGAAAGAAACATAAGCTGACAAAAAAAAAAAAAAAAAGACCAAGCGACACTATTCAAAAAATAAAAATAAAAAAATAAAAAAGATCGTCAGGCTACAAGATACTTCTAGTCACCTGACGATCCCGGTAGCGTGAAACCTCGGGTAGTGGTCTGAACGTTGTTTACTTTTTGTATATATATATACGGCGACAGTCCGTTCCATGCTTAAACGCAATCGTCAGAATATTAAACTAATCTACCCTAACTGCGGAGAGAGGGGTGAAGAAACACTCTCAAAAGTATTTGTGCGCTGTGAACGTAACGATCTCAATCGGACTTTAAACTGATCACCCATAACCCTTTCGTTACCCTCACTTTTAATACTTATTGTTATTACACTATTTACATTGCTCGGACTATCAAACTCATCTTTGTTGTCATATTTGTTTTCACAGTCTTTCGGCCGTTGTACACTCAGGCCTTCTTCAGGTCGTTGGAATGTCGAACTGAACCCTTTATTTCACTCGCTGGGGTAGACTGTTCTAGTTCCACGTGCCATGTCTAATTGATGTCAGTTATCAGTTATCTCCTGTTAATTCCCCTCTCCAAGTTCCCCACCGCCTTAAACAGGTATTGAACTCACACTCTTTGGGTCCTGGAGCAATGTAAATAGTGTACATAATACCTCATCTCAGAAATATAGACAGATACTTATTGTTATTGTTACTAATATATATATATTTATTCTTTCTAACAGAGAGATCCAGAAAAAGAAAAAGAGGCCCTCGACTGGGTGGAGGCTATCCTTGGACAGCCAGTCGACAGGAAGAAGCCTTACGAAGAGGTCTTGAAAGATGGTACAGTTTTGTGCGAGTGAGTGACTATATCATTCTCAATAGCTTTGATACCGATTTATTCAGACATACTGATATGCGTTTTGTTGGTTGATTGATTTTACGATATGTTAATTCTTCTTGAGTGTTATTTAATATTGATATGTCCCAGAAAGGGATATATTTGAACGAAGTAGATAAGTGGTTTTGGCTACTATAACCAAGTAGAATACGGTAGCAGTAATCGACTGGTAGGCGTCGTAGTCGCAGGTAAGAAGTGTAGATCAATGGCGTAGTCCAATGGGCATTGTTATAGACTTAGCTCTCAGACTAAGGCTCTTTTCTGACTCTCCCACGCGTCCGTCGATATTTATGACGGACACCAGCCAATCACACTCCAGTGAGGGGAAACACAGGTGTATGCATATTCCATTATATCAAATATCGAATTTTGTATTGGCCATCAGGTTGAAAGCACTACTAAGTAGAAATGTTCAACCAGACTAGACAAGCTCACTATGCCAAGGCCCCTCATATACGTTTTCGCCCGGTACATTTTTTTGAGTGGCTTCTCGCACTAAAGTTTTCCGTTGACATAAAGTGGAAATATTATATTGGATCAATTGCTAAGCCTGCTGATAGAAAGGGTGGTTCACCTTGTTGTGCAAGACAATTTTTCTCTCCAGAATTTATCTTACCAATTTATATATCTACCATTCTATGCAATGAATATTGCTGCCAAATCTAGTTTGGTGCTTCTGCTATATATTTGGAAAGTAACCTATTGCGTCTTAGTAGCTTTATTCCCTTTCTTGGGGTCAGATGTTTAAAAAAATATTTCGTAGGAAATGACTCCATTTCTTCTCTCTTTATGTGCCATATCCTTTCAGGACGTAGGCGATCATGGCTCTCCACCTCCTTCTATCCCTTACAGCTCTCAACAAGTTCCCTCTCTCCTCCCCCCCAGACCACGTTCTGTCACCCACTTGCTTAAGCCCGCCAGATATGTTTTTTCCATTGTCTCTCTTTCCCTCTATTCGACCCGTGAGTATCAAATTTTCCAGGCCCCACTTCCTCGTTATATGTTCCAGAAACTTCAGCAGCCTCTTCCTGATGTTAAGTATAAGCTTCCTCCTTGTTTGCATCCTCTCTAAAAGCTCACCGTTGTTCATACGCTCGGTCCATGATATCCTTAGCTTCTTTCTGTAGAACCACATCTTTGTCGCCTCGAGTCTCCTCTTCATCTTTGAGGAAATCGTCACGTAACAGTTCAGTATTCTTTTCTTTGTTACCAAAATTCTCTCAATACTCTGCCCAACTTTTGGAATGTGCCCGTGGCCATCCCAATACGTCTACTGATCTCAGTGTCGCACTTACCGTCCTCTGTCAAAACGATTCCATTATATTTTCAAATCTGTCAAAGCAACTGACAGGTAATAAAAGAAAGGACTTTTTGAAGATGGGAAGGAAATAGCATCTGAAAAAAAAAGTTCCGGAAGTTCATAACATCGATGGTTATTTCCATATAGATTAATATCAGCGATGATTTCTTAATTCCAACCGGCGCCAATGATCTGAACTCGGGGCCAAGTAAAAACTCGCATTTTCATTATTGATTTTCAAGGTAAGCAGGTTCTGTTTTCTTGAAAGAAGGGCGTAGTATAACATTCCCAATTCGCTATATGACCTTCACGTGATAAATTTTGAAAATTACTTAGAGCGTCTCGATTTTTATATTTTATAATATTACTAGCAGTAAAGCCAACTTTGATCAGGTCTTTCATTAATGGGATTTTTTGCCTTTCAATTGGAGCGGTTTAAGTTTAAAGTCAGCCCACCCGAAAATCAATATTAGTAACAAAATTTGGGTGAAACTGATGCACATTCCCAAATAGCGGGGGTTTAAGAATTTGAATGTCGGTGGACCTGAACAGGGAACTGTATAATAATAAATACTATTATTGTAATAATTTGAACTATTTATTTTTATTAAAGTTTTTATAAAAGATATATATCCAGGAACAGATAGTAAATAGTAAAACGTTGCTGAGAGTTATAATGGCAGGAAGTAGTGGAGAGTCATTGTCGCCAACAATTTGGACTAAAAAAAAAACCGGCACTGAAGAATTATCTATCAAAAAAAAATTCCTTAAAATCGGATGAAAACTGTGGAAAAGCATAAACAACATCCGATCACACACACACACACACACACACACACACACACACACACACACACACACACACACACACACACACACACACATACATACATACACGCATTCTGAGAATGATATATATAGATTATACTTGCTCATATATATTTACACTATTTATATTCGGACTAGTGTCCTCATCTTTGTTGTTGTTATCACGACATTTCGGTCATTTTGCATCGCCCCCGGTCTTCGTCAGGTGTATATCGATCTCCGGATAACTTACAAGGAATTCTGAACTGACCCTTTGAACGGGAGTAGATTGTATTCGTTCAACTTTCCGTGTTTAGGGATATCTCGTCTAGTTCTTATTTTTAATACCACCCGATTATTGCCCGCCTTGTTTCCTCTGAGTTCAAATCCACACTGCCGGCTCATAGATTGAACTCATAATTTATATGTCGCCAAATTCACGAAACACTAGGCTATTGCTACGTTGTGATAACAACAACAAAAATGAGGACAATAGTGCAGATATAAATCGTCAAAATAACGATAATTCCTCATCCCACAAATTCAGTGAGAAATTATCGAATACTTACAAAGCGATTGAACTCACAATTACTTTTTTGCCAAATTCACGAATAAACATTTGAACCCACTAGGTGCTCCGTACTTGAGGCCTTGTACCACATCTAAACTCTGATTACGAAAAAAGCTACTTTCTTTACTTTGCTAGTCCTTTGCAAACTTTCAGAATTTCATGCTTTAAATCGTAGTTGCTAATTTTTTCCCATTCAGCATTCACTTATCGTGTAAGACATGGAGAAGATGCTTGTCACAACTCTTTTTCCTGATTGGCCAGAAAAACTACATTATCTACATCTACGACAATAAAAAAATCCGTAGAAATTTCTTTATCACATCGTTAAATACTTGAGCTTAACAACTTTAACAAAATATTGCAATTACAATCATAAATATGAATGCTGGTCGTTATTTTAAAAGTAAGAGGTTACAAATGAAAAGATTTTAAATTGACAACTATTTTCATTTCACTTAATGGTGTAATGATAAGGGACCAACTGCCGAAACGTTGTGATAATAACAACGAAGATGAGGATAATAGTCCGAATGTAAATAGTGTACGTAATGATAACTCTTCATCCAAGAAATTCAGACAGAATACATGATTATAAAATTGAAAGTCGTATAATTTTGCTGCAAGGGAATGAGATAAACATAAGTAAAATCACGTAACAGACAAGGTAGGTTTTAAATAATACATGACCATATCTCTACCTATCCTTTTATTTTTCGGCTGTGTAGTAAAATATTATTCGAGGAGTGACAATTTACTTCCAGGAATAGCCCCCTGTAAACTTCTCATTCTAGAAATTCAGAAATTGCCAATATTTTTTTTTATTTCACGTTGGAAGACAAGTGATACAATTTTTACGAAGAGTTTTCTTTCATTCTCTGGAATTTCGCTGCCGCTAGAAACCCTGATAGTTCTTTTTTTATTCGTTTAGTTTTTTTTTTTGCTTTATTTATTTTCATTAATTTTCTTTTTCTTCTTTGTCTTTTTTCAGCTTTATCAACAAACTTGCGCCCGGATCTGTCAAAAAAATCGAAAGGAAAGGTACAGGTTTTGTCTTGAGGCAGAACCTCGAACGATTCCAAGCCGCTCTAAAGAAATATGGGGTACCAGAATCGGAAACGTTCCAAACAGTTGACTTGTTCGAACGCAAAAATATTCCTCAAGTCACTCTCTGTCTTTTTGCTCTCGGCAGAATCGTAAGTTGACGATTCCTTATTTTCTTTCCTTTTGTTAAATAAAGAACGGGATTCGTTTTACAAGTAGAACTGTTTATTTAACTTTGTAGTCCATATATATATATATATATATATATATATATATATATATATATATATATATATATATATATATATATATATATATATATATATATATATATATATATATATATATATATGCGATATCGAGCTACCTGTTAATTTAGATAAATAAAGAAGTTTTTCGTCTTTGAACAGGAAAATGTATGGTTGTGAGTTACAAAAAATGGGTGTGCTCTTAGTCAAATGGTTAGCGACTCGAGACGAGAAATCGGTGAGACGAGTTCAAACTCCGATCGAGTGCGATGCATTAACTTTGACAAAAAAAGAAAAGCATGAATTCATCTCTTTTATCATTAATCTATCGGTTAGACAATAGGGCGGACTGGGCTCTTTCTTGTTTGGCAGTCTAGGAGAACAACGACTAAGAATTCAAAATCGTATATAGCCCTTATCTAAGCACTTACTATACAACCATGAAAACGAGTATGGAGTTCACAATAAAATATCGTTAGAAATAAAAACAAAAACAAAACAAGATGGCCGAACTGCTATGGGATATCAATCCAGTGAAGACTGGACACAGATGAAGAGTATATTTGAAGATGTGGTTCAACAAAAGGATGCTGAGTATACCATAGATGGAGCAGGTGAGCAGCGAGGATATTTGAAGGAAAATGGAACCAGAAAAGACCCAGAATCAGAAAGAGACAGTTGATATTTCTACAACACATATTGAGGAAAGAGGACTTGGAGAATTTAACACTTAAAGGACAAGAGAGACAAACGGAAACAACGAGTGAACGTCTTCACGAGCTTAAGTAAATGGGTGACAGAACAGGGAACTGGACAGATTGTAAAAAGACAAATATTGCTAAGGATGAGAAGATTTGGAAACCAGTAAGCATCCATGTCCTGAAGAGACACGGTACATAGAAAGAGAAGATTAAATTAACCTCGAATGAATTCTATTTACACTATTGACATGCGGACTAATATCTTCATCTTTTCGGTCGTTGTGTCGTTCGGCCTTCATTAGGTGTATATCGATCCGTGTAACCCACAGGGAATTCTGAACTGAACACTTTATTTAATCAAGCGGGTAGACTGTTCTCATTTCACTGACCATGTCTAGGGATATCTTGTCTAGTTCTTATTATTAGTATTGCTCAGATATTGCTTAAGGTTACGGTCACATCACGTACAATGTTAAGTTAAGCAAAGCTGAGTCTGGTCAGTACCTAAATGGGTGACCAAGTGCTGTAAGCTTGGATGTGTAGATGCTGTAATGGTTAATGGTTCTGAATTGGAAAATCGGAGGCTAGAGTTCCAATTCCAGCTCGTTTCATTATATTCACTTACGCACAGATAGTCTTGGGAAAGTTATGAATCCGTCTCTTCTCTCCCAGCTAAGGGTTAATGAGTAGGACTTGTATCAGTAAATCATTATTATCTCAAAAAAATCTTTGAATCTAAAACTATTCTATGGCTTTAAATAACCTGCAAAGGTTTGATAAGCCGTAAAGAATGAATTAATCAACAAAGAAATTTATTGCCAGGGATTGAACTGGCAGCAAATTCAAGAACCACTAGGCTATTATCCTGTTGTGATAACAACAACAAAGATAAGGATAATAGCTCGTATACAAATAGTGTAAATAATGATAACTCGTCATCCAACAAATTCAGACAGAATTTATCGGATGAATTTATATAGCGAAATAGTTTTCAATGCATTTTGAGGCATGCTTTTAGTATTTGCTGTTTCTTTGTACATAATCATTACAATGAATAAAATTGTTTCACGTATTTGTTTAAAAACATCTTTCCGTGATATTGCAATTTACATAAATATCGACTTACCACATAATCTATAATGGATGTATTGAAAACAAGCGAAAGTAAATGATTTTCAAAAATCTGTTTAAATATGTTTATTCTGTTATTTTCTTTTAGGCTCAAACAAAACCTGATTACACTGGCCCAATTCTCGGCCCCAAAATGTCTGACGAGAACGTCCGTGAGTTCACTCAGGATCAGCTAGATGCAGGTAAAAACGTAATCAGCCTTCAGTATGGAAGCAACCAAGGTGCAAGTCAAGCAGGCATCAGCATGGGAAAACAAAGAATGATCGCAGATTAAACTGAGCTCTCCATCAAAATGATTCCAATGTCCCACTAAAAAAAAAAAAAAAAAAAAAATCTGCCATCTTGCAATTAGTTGTTATGCAAAAAATTAAACATTTTTTTATTGGTTAAAAAAGTCTTTATTTTTCATGCCTCTGTATTTTTTTATTTTTTTGTCGCGGGATTTTTAAGCTTTATTTATTAATTTAAATTTAGAACATAATGAAATAAAATGCTTAACTATTGAACAATATACATTATAATCCTTTTGTTCAAATAATCAATAAAACCAGGAAAGACATGAATAATAATAAAATATATTGGAAAATGTCAGAATAAGGATTTTTAATTTCTAGAATATTTTCATTTTAATAATGTAACGAAAATGTAGCTAAAACAGGGTGTCGTATATATATATATTATAAAAATATAGGATTGAGGTATCCTATATTTATGGGTAAAAGTGCCCAATAGCAGGAATAAAGTGCATGTAAATATAAAATTAACTACTGAGGCCAGTAGTCTGTTTTATGCTTCAAGCATGAAACAAACTGTTGTCACTCAGTGTTGCCGTCAATGTCCACTTATCCATACATACATGCATACATACATACATACATACATACATACACATATATATATATATATATATATATATATATATATATATATATATATATATATATATATATATATATTCAAATGCTAGTGAAAAGTTATCGAACCGCCTAAGAAGCCCATCTCCTAATATTCTATTGTTTGGGGCAAGAATTTTTCAGCACCCTACACAGACACACACAAACATACACACAGACACAGACCCCCCCCACACACACACATATATATATATATATGTTTGTGTGTGTGTGCGTGCGCGCATAATACAAATACATATATTACCTACTGATAAGTGGACGGGCGAAACTCTGGAGTCTGAATGCTGACTCTAACATCAATCAGCTAAGTGATAAACCTTTTACTTATATTAATTCTATATAGATAAATATATAAATATTGGACACTATGTTACATATATTGTAATCAATCTAATTAGCTAGCTCGTTAACGTATTCTCTTAATTAAAGATTGAGAAATATTTGTTATCCGTTTTTATAAGAAAAGAAAACAACGCCATATTTATTATACACAATCTACCAATAGCTGTCATATGTTTCTGGTAAAGCTGACACGAAGCACTGAATTAATTAAGATGTATTTTTCTATGAATTTAAGCTTTTACGGGGGACACTTTTTGTCGTTTCTTTTCTTTCCATACTTTTGTTTGTAAAATGCAATTTACATTTTGTTCTTTCATCGCTTATAAACCAATTATGCAATTGTATATTAGTGTATTAAAATAGATTAATAAAAAATATTATTTTCAACCGGATTTTATGCAGTTACACTGGCTTCGAAGATTTTCTTGGACTTCGTTTATATTTTTAATCGAAATGTTAATTGCATTAATAATCACATTTGCCGAAACTATCCTTTGCTTCTTCTTGGGATAAAATGTTTCTTTAATAACAATAAAAACGTAAGTTTTTGACCTGTAATGTTTCACAGAAGCATAAAACATTTTCGGTCATTTCGAAGACGAGAAGAAGAGTTCTGGTAGATTTTATTAATATTTTCTGGTAAAAAAAAATGTATCTGGTATTTTACCAAAAAAATAAATATTTTAAAAACAACCGATTTTTGTTTTGTTTATTTATTTACTTTGATTTCTGTTGTATACATTTTTCCTTTCGTGTCTCAACGTGCGACCTAAGGCCAGAAATGGTTTCATGATATTTTACACTGACCATTTTGGCAAAAAGTTCACACAGATTTTACATAGATAAAGCCCCTTGGATGTGTGAGCTGTACTTGTGTTATAGAGTAGTTTTCCCAGTGGAGGCTTGTATTTCACCAAGTCGGTCCTAAAATAGGTTCGACGTACAAAACGTTAGGAACTTGATATAGTAGGCATTACGCAGAGTAATCTAGTTGTGGTCACTGATACTTTCGTATTCGACTAACTGTCGTCCGACATCGACAGACGGACTGACAGACTGACTGACCCATTACTCTTACTACTCCTACTTATTATAGGTGGGAGAATCTATAAACTATAGAATAGGTGTGTTCCAGTATAACAACTTGTGAGTACAATTTTTTGTATTTCTTTAAGGTATGGGCACCATGCGATTCCTTTAATGAGTCTATCGGAACCTTTTTCAACCAAACCGAATTCTCCAACTTTAACCGGAACGATCGATGTGCCATATTTTTTAAATTTCCGCTTCATGATCCTTTTATTTTGATAGTTTTTTTTAAAGGTCTTCGAAGATACATTACAATCTGCAGGAGCTACAATTTCAATAAGAAAGCACGTTTTATTTTTATGGTCTTTAAACAAGATGTCTGGTCTTTGATTATTCAATCTGTGTTATCATACTTATTATAAAACCAAAGTTGTGTGTGTGTGTGTGTGTGTGTATGTGTGTGTGTGTGTGTGTGTGTGTTCGTTTATATATGGGATCGGATTTCCTACATTTTTCAACCGATTTCAACAAAACTTTACAGAACTACGTAAAATTACCTTGCGGTGGTTGTGACAGCACCAAAAATTGGAAAAAACACAATTGTTTTTGCACGAAACCAATTTGAAAACACGATTAAGAGGCATCGCGAGAATGAAAAGGGGACAACTCATATCGAATTATACTTATTATAAAACCCAGGTTGTTTGTTTGTGTGTGTGTGTGTGTGTGTGTGTGTGTGTGTGTGTGTGTGTGTGTGTGTGTGTGTGTTCGTTTATATATGGGATCAGATTTCCTACATTTTTCAACCGATTTCAACAAAATTTCACTTTTTTTTTGGCAGGTAGTATTTCTTATTGTCTTGCACACTTTTTTTTATTTTTACGTTCAGAATGCTTTAAAAATTCCATTTACAAGACAATTGTTTATAATAAAATTCTATTCAATCGGTAGACTCATAACGATTGAAAACAATGTTTTTGTTTGAGTTTGGGTTTGACCAATTCGTAAAAAAAAATAAAAAATAAAAAAAACTAATTAAGACATGCGTGTCCGTCAACCTTAAACAATAATCTTTGTCAGTTTTATTTTTCAGTGTTTATGATGGTCGATACTTGATCTATCTCTTACTGTTACATCCCCGGGCAACGCTGGGCTCTACTGCTAGTTATAATTATTATTCACAACATATGATATCTATTTATATTTCTGAGATGAGGTCTTATGTACATTATAGCAAGTGGAACTAGAACAGTCTACCCTAGTGAGTGAAATAAACGTTGATCCTCGACAGTGTAATCACTGAGCTGAACGTCCATATGTCTGACCTAGTTGCTCCCTGCCTGAACGACAAAATGCTGCGTACGGCTATCTGGCCGTCATCCATGCACTCAGATGATGTCTCCCGTCATCACCTCCTTGTTGTTTTTGCCGCCTAATTTCAAAATTGTCTTTAATTCCTGATTATCCTCGTAAGTTCAGGTCAGGTAACAAATGATCCCTGATTGAGGATATTCTAAAGTATCTAGATGAAGTTATATAAGCAACACACAGTCTTTGACTTCTTCGTGAGAAGATCTACGTTTGAAGGAAACTCCCCCAAGATATAAAATGTCTAAATCCAGAAGTTGATAAGCAATAATTTTACACATGGATGATTTAGTCTCGTGTTTGTATTAGTTTTTACAGTGATAAAGTCACGCAGATATTAATGTTTTGTAATCGGTTTTTTTTTTGTACCTATTATTTTACTAGTGGACATATTTTAAGATAATCGATTGGATGAATTTAAGCGTACCACTAAATTATCAACCAGGTCAAATCGTTTTACGGTTGAAATAACAAGATGTAACCGCAAGTTCTAATCTAAGAGTTTCTTTTCTCGCACTTCTCGCTTGTGGAACTCTCTTCTGTTTTTTTTTTTTTTTTTTTTTTTGCTTCCTTGCTACATAAGATCTTCAAAAATTTAAATTCAAACGCCAATCGCCATCTCCTTTTTTCCTGGATCCTGTTTTTTTTAGTCCTTTCTCCTAACTAACGTCTTCTTATCTTCTTTCACTCTCAGTAAGCACTGGCGTCTTAGTGGGATGATTGCCATACTTGGAGTGGAACGATTGAAAAATAAAAGGGTCTGAACTAGTAGAACTCAAATACGGAGTTCATCTGAACATTTGCGATGACATTAGCGATAGAATAGGGAAATAGGCAAAAAAGATATTTTTAGATTGTAAGAATTTTTTTTTTGAAATAATAATGATTTACTGATACAAGTCCTACTATTTAACCTATAGCTAGGGGGAGAAGAAAATACATTTGCATATGAAAGATTTAGTATCGTATTCTTATTATTGGTCTTTACAACAATATACACCTATTCATCATCATTTAGCGCATTTTGCGCCGTTCTAGTCACTCTTCCTTCTTTTGCATGTGGTACATGGTGACTCTTAAGGCAAAATAGTGCAATTGCTTGCCGCTTCCTTTTGATGTTCAGATATCCCGACTCAGAAGTTCCTCCATTCACTGGTAAACCTGTTAAACTCTGATTCACACGTCAATCACCTTATTCTCTCTTTCTAAACTCTGTTTTTTTTTTTTGCCTTTTTCCTAATTAGCGTCTTCTCAGTGTCTTTCACTCTCGGCAACCCTTTGCGTTTTAGTGGAATTATTGACTTTTTTTTTGGTGGGGGGTGTCAATTAAAAAAAAAGGTCTGAACTTGTAGAACTAAAATTCAGAATGCATATAAACATTTGCAATGGCATTAGCGATAGAGTAAGCGAAAAGGTAAAAAAGATATTTTAAGTTTGTAAGATTTAAAAAAAAAATAATAATAACGACTTACTGATACTCGTCCTACTAATTAACCCATAGCTGGAGTGAGATAGTAATATCTCTTCTTTTATTACCTCTTCTGCCATCCATTTACAGAAGCTTGCTCCGCAGGTTTCTAGATTTTTGTCTTTTTGCTTTCAATATATCCAGTGTCAAATG